GTGGAGAAGCTAGAAATTGGTACACTGTTGGTGAGGATGTAAAATGGCAGCTGTAGAAAACAGTGTGGTGGTTACTCAAAAACAAATGAAAGATAAAAATGATCATATGGTCCAGCATTTTTGCTTAGGGTCGATGCCCAGAAATACTGAATGCAGCCACCTAAGGAGATGTGATACACCCATGCTCAGTGCAGCAGCATTCACAACAGCTAAAATGTCAAACAAGCCAAGTTTCCAGTAGCAGGTGAAGTAGATAAGAAAAGGTAGGCTGCACACAGTGGAATACTATATAGCCTTCAAAAGGAAATTTCAACCCATGACACATGAAACGTGAAGACATTAGACTAAGTGAGTGAAAGAAACCAGTCACCGAAGGGGAAATACTGTATGTGTCCATGGCATGAAGCACGAAGCAAAAAAATTTTAGCAATGGGAAGTAGCTGGTGGTTCACGAGGACTGGGAACGTTAGCAGTTTATGAGCACAGAGCTGTTTTACAGGCTGAAAAGACTGGGCGATGGGTACACACAGATAGGAAAGCACTCACTACCATGGTCTGTGCACTCAAACATGGTGGGAACGTTAGCAGTTTATGAGCACAGAGCTGTTTTACAGGTTGAAAAGACTGGGCGGTGGGTACACACAGATAGGAAAGCACTCACTACCATGGTCTGTGCACTCAAACATGGCTAAGATGTTAAACTTTAGGTTAAATGCATTGTGCACAATAAAAACAAGAGTTAAAAAAAAATCTCTGGGTCCAAATTTCCCCACCTGAAAGAGAGGAGGATTGGACTAAACAGTGTCCACAGCCCCCTCGGCCCTGTGACTGTGCTTCTCTGGCCTCTCAAGAAAGCCTGGTACAGCAAGAAAATAGTAAGAATAATGAACAGCCATATACCAGAGACATTTTGTGGGGGTGGAGTGGGAAATGGGAGGGGTGAAGGGGGAGGAGAGAAGTGCATTGGACTATGGTGATGGCACACGTTTGACATGGTGATGGGAAGCCCATGGGGATTACAATTGAGATGAAAAAAATTGTACAAAATGATGTAAAAATAAACTATTATAAAAAAATTAAAGGGAAAAAAAGAAAGCCTGGTACTATGCTAGAAAAGAACCCTGCAGCCCTAGCATTAATACAGGGCTTGGCAGCAGGCAGGCAGGTGCTCAGGGATGTTTAGCTGGTAGGATGAATGGAGAGCAGATGGAGGGGAGACCCTCCCCCAAATCCCAGGCCCACCATCAGAGAAGCGAGGTAGATGGCCTTGCGGCTGGCACTGTTTAGGACAAATCCAGAGGAAATCCACCCAGAAATATCAGGCATTTACATCAGCAGCAGGTCTTCTGGGGGGGGAGGGGTAGCAGGAGTCCAAATCTCCACGTGGGCAGACCCCGCCACTGTTATGTGACCTCAAACCATCGCCTGGTTTCTCTAATCCCAGTTTGCTGCCCTGCACAACCCCACCCACCCAGGATGGGCTCACACCTGCCCAGACCACCACACAATTCTCGGAGGCTCCCTATGGGGCTGGAAATGAAAGGGACCTCTGTCCTCTGGACAGCTAAGGGGATGGACGTGGGTGCCAGGCAACTGGGAATGCCAGCATAGCTCGATGGCCTTAAGCCTTGGTTCTTCATCTGTGAAGCAGGAGCCACCTCCCTCTCCACAGTGAATAACTGTGGTTGCCGAGAATAAATGAGTTGATTTTTGCCAAGCTTTCAGAACAAAGCTCAACGAAGTTCCCTGCAAGAGCTAACTTTCGCTCTTGCTCTGATGGGTGTTACCAGCCCCTGCAGATGCCACACCTCCATTCATTCCACAGGGACATTTCCAGCATGAGGCTGGCCTGTGTTAGGAAAAGAGGCTTGCCCATGGCTCTCCCCAGCCCAGGGCTACTGGGGGCCAGGCCGCTCGCACAGAGGCCACCCCATTGGCTATTACCCTCGGGAAATTCCTTTTGACTATTATTTTTCAGAAGTTGAGAAAAGCTGCTTCAGCTCTTTCCAAGGATCAGGAGTGTCCACAACAGACAAGCCCTATCTCCTCTCCCTTCTGCCCCCACCAGTAGACCCCACGGGAGAGAGGTGACCCTACGGTCCTCTGGCACAGGCCTTGGGCAACATCTGTTGAGTAAGACAAAAACACAAGTTGATGATTAAGCCGCTTTGTCCTGCCTGGCCTGGTACGGCCTGGAAATGTGTTTGGCCAGCAGCCCCAGGGGCTGGGCAGAATCCTGTGCCCGGGGGCGAGAGGTAGTGATCCCAGAGGCTCGGGCTGGAGCGAGATGGAAGAGCACACCGGGCAGAGAGCAGAGCCAAATCGACATGAGGGACACACAGCAACAGATACACGATATGAGCAAGAGGGAGGGTGACAGCGAGGCAGCAGGTCAGCCCTGTGGAGGCTGCAGGACAGGCAGCAAATGGAAAAGGAAGGAAAAATCCGACCCGCCCTTTCCTCCCTCTTGTGAACCTGTTCAAGGCACCAGCCTGGCCTGCCGTGAGGAAACAGGTGCTGAGTGTTCTCTGGGGGAGCCAGACTTTCTTCCAGTTTTCCCTGGGCCACTTTCCCACTCCCTGGGGACAGCGACAGGGCTCCCAGCTAGAGGCCAACCCCCGAGGACACCCTGCTGTCCACCACAAGCAGGGAACGAGAACATCAGTCCTGTACAATGAGCACGTAATCTGCACCCAGGCATCAGTCACTCAACAAGCACATTTTTTTTGAGCACCTACTATGTGGTCATCGAGCGCCTACTGTGAGCCAGACAGTGGAGGTCACAGGGATTAACACAACAGTAAGTCTCTTGACATCGTAGAGTTTACAGGCTGGACTGGGGGCCTCTTACACAAACTAATGCTTTCAGTGAGTCTAGGTGATACAGGGAAGGGAGAGTAGGTTGATGGAAGGAGGGAAATAGTGACACTTGAACAAGACCCGGGGGAGGGAAAACGCCTCCCAGGAGGTGGTAGGAAGCATAGGGGGTGCAAAGGCCCTGAGGCGGCATTTCCCTGGAACAGTCGAGGACTAGCAAGAACGTCAGGAGGCTGGAGCAGAGTGATAGAGTAAGAGAGCTTCCAGAAGGAGGTGAGGGCAGAGACAGTTCTGCAGGGCTCTGAAGGCAAATGGGAGAACCCTGGATTATAGACCCCAAATGAGGCAGAGGCCACACTGGGGATTCTGAATCCCAATGAATCTAATGGGGTGATTTGTTTCTTTTATTCTCTCAACAACCTTCCAGGGTAGGTACTATTACTAACTTCCCAAATGAGGGAGCTTAAGCACATGTCCAGCACCTGAGGACTGGGAAGCTGGAGGAGGAAGGAGGAGGAGGCCTGAGTCCCTAGCTCTTGACCACTGCTGGGGGCCAGGTTCCGACCTGGAAGGCAGAGTCTGACATCACTGTCAGTCCCCTCAACCCCTGCGAAGAGCAAGGCCCTGGGCACAGGTGAAGCACATCCTAGATGTGTGGGTTCCAGCACCTCGCTCAGGCCAGAGCACCTGCAGGCGCTAAGTGTGATCCCCCAGTGGAAATGCCTACCCATCCCCCTTCGCCCCAACCCCTGACCCCTCCTCACGTAAACAAAGCTCCAGAGGTTCCCAGCTGGCGTCTGCCAGGATGGAGATTCCTACACCCTGGACCCCTCCAGCCCCTCCGGATCAGCCAAGAACATTCTGTTCTTCGCAGTGAGGTAGCAGTTGGGTTGGAATGATGAGACCTGGGCTCAGCTCCCCGCCCACAGTCACCACGGCTCTCTGAAGTCCACAGGTTTCTCACTGGCAGTTCCCAGTGTGGCCTGCAGGCTGCCCTCACTCCGGTCGCTCTCCACCCACCCACACTGCTGTCAGATGGGCTCCCATTGCACTCCACACGAATGACACTCCACATCTGGAGTGGCACAGCTGGGCAGCGCCTGGGCCCAGGAGGGTTGGGTCCAGAGAGGCCAGAGAGAAGGGTCCACTGTCATGAGGGAGCACAGGTAGGCTGATGGCAGAGACACCTTGGCCTAAGAGGCATGGCACCTGGCACACTCGATTTCATCCCATCAATGTGGCCTTGAACAGATGGGAGCCCATTAGCACGGAGACCGCCTCTGTAGAAAGGGAAACTAAGGTCCAGAAAGAGAATGGGACTGACCCGGGGTCACAGAGCAAACAGGCAGGTGTTGGAGAGGAGACCCCACCTGCCGCAGGCTCCAGGCCCCAGGCTGAGCACAGGGCACCACGCAGCCCCCTCGCCCATGACACCCTGGCCTTCTCCCAGAACTCACCCCTATCGGGGCTCCACTGGCCTCTGCAGGGGACCCCATGACACCCCACATATACACACACCATGCGGGTGCCTTCCCCTCCAGCCTCAGGGCCCTGCTTGCCTCCAGGCTGGGCAGCAGGAGGAACCGAAGGGAGGAAAAGCTCCCAGCATTCCAGACCCACCCAGCTGGGATCAGTCTGGAGCAGGAGCCCTGGCCCTGTCCATGCCCTTCTGGAAGCTGATTGGAGGAGAAAGGGGGGCGTGGAGGACAGGGTGGGAGAGCAGATTAGCAGCCAGCCAGGAGCTCGGAGGTGCAACAGGCCACCCAAATGTGAGCAACTGCCCAGGTAGCTGAACGCCAAAGGGTCAGGCCACTGTCCCCCTCCCACCCCGCTCTAGTCAAAGAGTACGTGACCCCGGACAGGGCAGGAGGAAAGAGATGTCAGGCTCCTGTGAGCCCCAGGGCACCAGGCACCTGGCCAGGCCTGGAGACACGCGAGATGCCCTTTTATGGGTTTTTCCAAGGACTGAAGTCTCAAGATTGGAAAGAGGAGGCCCTGCGTCTCATCAGAAGGGACCTCATGACTCATTTCCTCCCAGTCCAGCTTCAGCCCCTGGACGTGGCTCCGTCCTCTCTTTAGCCTAACTGCCCAGGACAGTGGAGATTCCCAGCACACTTGGGTCAACAGTAAGCTGCAGCCTGGGGGACGGGCGGCAGCACAGGGACTGTCTGTCTGTCACTCACCACCAGTTCATGGCTGGATGGAGGAATGCAGGGGGCAGCCACCTGTGGGAGGAACAGAGAAAGCACAAGGTCAGCAGTGTCCAGCCCCACAGAACGCCAGGTCATCCCGGTCACAACGCCACGGCCACGCCAGACACCCCTTCTCCCACCTCACACGCTGACCCCTCCACTTGAGAGTTCACTAGAAGACTATGTAGCCACACGGAAAATGGGGTGGGGGGAGGCGGCGTTGGGGGGGTCAGTAGAAGGCCAAGATGAAACTTATGTCACATTTAAAATTCCTTAAAAAAGAAAACACGCAGACACTGAAAGACCTGGAAATCCATACGCCAGGATTTCCAAGCAGAGGGCCCGGGGAGTACACAACGATTTTTTTTTTCTTTGCTCTATTTCCAAAACTTACTTACTACCACACAGTACGATTTATTCTGTGGGTTGTTTTGCAGTTGTTTTATTTTTCTGAAACGTGTTTCAGATCTCTAGAAAAGGAAAAGCCACCTCCTCTGTTCTCCCCCGTGCCAAGGTATCTCACCCAAAGGTCAGCGCTGCAGACAGCTGGCTGAGTTTCCCAGAGCCAGTAGGGAAAAGGCCTGTGAGAGCCACTGCCAAAGCTAGGCCCGAATAAAGCCCAAGGCCTTGGAAGACTAAAGCACCCCCCATGGGTGAGCTGTGACTTAGGGGGGGGGCCCAACCCGGGCCTCCAGACAAAGCGGAGGGAGGGCTGGATGGCTCCCATGCTGAGATAACCTCCTCCCTCCACCCCACCGGGCAGGGGAGCCAAACCACTAGCCCGACAATTAGCAGGGCCTTTATCAGAGACTCGATGTGCTCCTTTTTTCTAGCCGGGACACGTTTTTCTTGGAGCTCATACCTCACCCTTGGCTCCAATTCCCCCCCTGAGCACCAGGCCGGGGGGCCCACAGAGAGGAGAAGGGCAAGCTCTCCTCAAGCATGAGGGTGTCTGAGCACAAGCAGATGACTAGAAGGGTGGCCAAAGAGGACAAAGATCCCCACCCCAACTGGCCACCCCACCCCTAAATGCAGCTCTGAGGGCTGCTGTCTCAGAGGCCACCCCCAGCCACGTCCTCCACCTGACCCCACTCCGTCAACACACCAGCCCCAAGGACCCCCAGGTTCCACACACCAGTGCAGAGGGGGGCACTGCCTGAGGGGTGCCCCAGATCAAGAGGAGGTGAGGCTGGGAGCCTGCATCCCTGGGCGCTGACCCAGTCAGACTCCAGGCTCCCTCCCCAGGCGGGTACAGAACCCTACTGTCCTTTACGCAGCATGCTGTTGGGAGAATCCCGGTGAGGCCACAAAGAAAGGAAGACAATACCCAATACTTAGTGAGCGTTCTCCACCACGGGCCTTATTATGGACGCTTTACCTAGGTTAACCCATTTAATCCTGTCAACAACCCCATAAAGTAAAGATGAGTATACTGAGGCACACCGGGAACAGAGAGGTGGACTGACTTGCCCGGGAACACACAGCCGATAGGTAGCCACGATTCAAATGTAGTGAAGAGAAAGTTATCAGACCTCACTTTGAAGAGAATGAGGAAGCGGGAGGTGGTCCCAGAGTTTAGGGCTCTTGATACACACATGCATGGGGCCACGAATGACTTTCAGACGTCTCTGTAGGGAGAGGCCCGGGGTGGGGTGGAGGGGACCGGGATGGAGCAGGAGGCCCGGGGGGTCGCTGTGCCTTGCAGGGTCCCCTACCCGCTGCCCACCAACAGGGGCTCGCCACAGGGGCGCTGCTGCCCCTGCCAGGCCATGGCCATGTCTAGCCATGGTCTCTAGCCATGGTCTGCCCATCTTCTCTGGCCTGCACAGCTCCAAACCTCCTCTGAGGCCCACAGCCAGGCCCTCAGGGTGCTCTCAGCACTAGTGCTCCTGGCCCCTCAGGCCCTGGGTGGGAAGGGGTGTAACCCACAGAACAGACTCCTGCTCCTTCCTTCAGAGCTGGGCCTGGGGAAGAGCGGGATGGGAAGCTGGACATGGGCACAGGTGTCAGGAGCAGTCAGCTAATCACACCTCCACCTGCGTCAGTCAGGGGGTGCAGTCAGCTAGTCACACCTCCACCTGCGTCAGTCAGCCCCTCCATCCCCAGCAAGCTCCCCACTGTGACTGAGGATGGACGGGGCCAAGGAAGTGAGGAAGCAGGTAGTGGATGCCCGTGAGATGGCACAGAATGGACAGGTATCCCCAGAGACCGGGGAGGGCTGCTCCCCAGAACCACCTAAGGCAGTGGAAAGAGTGGGGTCCATGCATCCCAACCCCACATCCCTTCCCTGGCCCCTCCTAAGGCAGAGACAACCCCGAGGTCTTAGGTCTTGAAGCGAGCTGTGGACCCCAGCCAGAGGGCTGATGTCTGGGTGCCCTCGTGGCCTGCTGCCCCCCAGCGGCCTCCTCCGCCCGCCACCCACAGCTGCACATTCCAGGCTGGCCAGCTGGCCAGCCAGCAGACTTTGTTGTGTTTCAGAGCTTCTTGTCTCTCTCTTTTTTTAAGCAGAGAAATGTTTCCTTAAAAGGCTCTCTGCTTCCCTCCGGCACCCTGGCCCCTGGCCACCCTCTCAGGAGCCTGGAATGTGCCAGGGAGAGCCAGGGCCCCCTGCCACTCTGTGGCCCATGCCCTATGGCCGTGCACTCCTGGTGTCAGCAATGTCCTCCCCTACTACCCCAAGGGACCCAAGCCAGGAACCCTCCATCTGCAAAGGGGTGGCCTCTGGGGTATCTGCAGGGCCTCTTGGGGCCACTCTGGCCATCTGCCTGCTCCCCGGGACTGGAAGCCAGGATTCCAGATCTCAGACCCAGGAGGCCAGCCTCAGGTAAACTGCCTCCCCTGGTGTATCTCCAAGGACTCATCTATACAATAGGGACCAAGCAAGCCGCGTGCTCGGTCTTTCCACTCTGGAAAGTACAATGGCAACACAAGAAACAGCAGCAGAAAGTACTCCCATCCCATGTGCACGATGCCGGACACTGTTCTTTGCAGTTTGCATAAACTAAGTCATTTGCATCTGACAGTCCTGAGCACTGCGATTGTTGTCCCCATTTTGTGGATGAAGAGACTGGGGCACAGTGAGGGTAAGAAGCTGCACGGAGCAGGATGCAAACCCAGCAGTTTTCCTGCCTTCTCTGACACCCAGGGCCATCGACAAGGCAAGATGCTTGCAGATGAAGGCTGTGATCCCGTTACTGCCCGAAGCCCTTTCCTAGTTCCCCTGCATTTGTAAAAAGATGAGATCCTGGCGTCTGCACCATGGACCTTGGGAGTATTATGTTAGATGAAATAAGCCAAATGTAGAAAGACAAATAGTGTGTGGAGAAAAAGAAACAAAACAAACTTTAAATAGAAACACCCCTTGGGGGCCCTCCCTGGTGACAGCGGATTAAAGCACAGC